CTGAGTCTGGTACGACTAGTATGAGTACTAATAAAATGGTACTGGACATTCCACAACCTTCTGAATATTTGCATAAGCTGTATAAACAGATGAATGCTGATGATGTTACGAAATCTACTCTGGTATGCAATGCAATTAATTAATTTTCATTTATTTTATTATATTTATAATTTAATTTATTAATTAATTTATGAAATACGTAATTTTTTGGTTTACAGAAACTGCCAATGGGTTTTTGTGAAAATGCTATTTCGAAAACTATGAACAATATTGATTTAGTTGATCCAAAAGGCAACACATTTGAATGCATTATAGCTTGGGAAAGTGGATCAAATCTGCATTGCAGTTTAACTGGAGGATGGACTGACTATTGCCATGTCAACAATATGAAGGAAGGATGTACTATTTTATTTGGAGTATTGAAGGACAATGATAATTGTATTTACTCAACTTTTATTTAAATTTGCAAGTTTATATGTATCAGTTTTTAATTGAACAAATGGAACATGTATAATATCTGTATTTTATGTTCAATATATACATGTGTACGTAGTATTCAAAAATGTTACGCATTGTACTTATTTTTGTATTGCATTTGTTGAATAAACTTATTGGTACTAAATTTGTTACGTTTAAATATTCAAATTAAATGTTATATATACATGTGTTTATTAAAAAACCTTTTGTTTTAAATGTCAATAAAAAGTATTATTAAATATTACTTGTTAGTTTTATTTTTGAAAGTTGTAACTTGTAATTTACAAATTAACTGACTTACTAGTAAGTAGTAACTATAACCAACAAACAAATTAATCGTATATTGTCCAATTATTAAGAGTTTAACATCACACACTTAAATCAATATTTTTATTTCAAAGGAAAAATATCAAACAAAATTATTTAATTAATATATTATTTCATTATAATTATTTAATTAATATCATTTAAAAATATGAGTATTTTAATATTCTGACTCATTCGAACAAAATTTTTTATCCTCACTAGTAATCATGGATATTGGAGACGTCGCAAGTTGCTTGATTTCTTCTTCAAATCAATAAACACATGGCAGTATTACTATCAATGGAGTATATCACAATTGCTGTACTACCTTCATGCGTACTGGGGTGGCCTGACTACTGCCACTTTTCTTGCACAGATTCATCATAATGGACTTCTGCCACTTTTCTTGCACAGATTCATCATAATTACTGTCCTACCTTCATGCGTACTGGGCTGGCATGACTACTGCCAACTTTTCTTGCCCAGATTCATCATTTGTCTGAGTAATATAATTTTTTTCAGCCATATGGTAATATACCTACATTGTTTTTCCTGGCCAACAATATTATTTATGATTGTCAGAAATTCTTGAAAAAAAGTCACATCACTTCATCTAAACCGGTATGTTTAATATTTATAATTCTTGTTTTTTTTTTAATTTTGTTTTTAACCACTTATTACTTAATAACTTGTCTCCATCTTCTAGTTGCTGCCTACTTCATTCTGCTTCAGTGCCATGAATTTAAATCTGAAAGAAATTGGTGGATGAAATGTCTCAAACATTGGTTTGTGCTATCAGGTAGAACATCAGAGGAAGACAAATAACAAATGACTGTTATCTCACACCACAGTGGTCTCAAGTTATTAAACATTGGAAATTGAAAATTGGTAAATATCGTTGAATTTGGAAAATTAAAATATTATGACAATTTCATGTTTGTCTCAATAGTTACCAATGAATAGGATTTTAAAACATTAATTTCTTACATTTGTGTGCTTTATACATTTTCTTTATCTTAATTAACTGTTATAGCCATTCTTCTTATGCTTGAATTTATTAAATAAATATCTTATATAATAATACTTTTTCGAATATCTTAAATATTTTATCAAATTTGCAATTTAATATTTGTTACAATTAACGTTACAACTCAGGAGGTTCCTTTTAAAATCAACCATATTTATTTTCGTAATTGGAAATTACGAGTAATACTGAAAGGATTTAAAACACAAACATGAAAAACATTTACTTTATTATGTTATATTAATTTTATTCTTTAATATGTTGTTATTAACAAGTTGTTCTCTGGGAAGTCTTTCGATAGTTCAACCATTAGCCAACCTAAACAAATATTGTCGGACAACATTTTTCCTAAAACCCAAAATACAATGTTTATTTTGTTACTCCAAATCTAATTAGTTTACTATTCAAACATGTCTTGTCTTTTATATTAATCAATATATCATGTATTTAATATGATGTAAATCAAATTTACTATCCTTATCATAAAATCACAAAATCTTGGTTTAGATCAGATTGAGATTTTTTTAAAATAACATAATTTAGGTATAAAACCAATTCACATTTTTCTAATACTTAAATATTTAATTGGGCTATCAAACATCCGAAACATCAAATTTTGTAAACTTGAATCATCACATAATCAAAACTAGGACCATTATAACAATTGCATAATAGAATATAATATTTAAAAACGTCAAATATATAAAAATTGAACTTACTCAGTATCAAACCCTAAGCATAATGTTTATAATATATCATAACAAACCAGATTGACTTTGTTAATCAACTGTACTTCATAACAGCAAAATATTATAAATAAACCCTAAAACAAATATTAAAATTACCATAATCAATTCTCAATCTTCATAACATGCGCCAAATTGCGTCTATCATGAGGAAATGAAAATTCAAGTTCATCTTCTGCAACAAACTGATTTTTGTAACAAAAAAACTTCCAATCTTTCCCAAGTTTTACAGATTTCCTTCCCTCAGAAGGAATGATGATAGAACATTTCACCATCTCCACAGGACCACAAATATTCAATGTTTTCCATCTTCTCTTACGCAAATGATCTCCAAATTCAACTGGCAAGCTCTGTCAGAATAAAAAACAATAAATTTGTACTCTCTCTATTCATGAAAAAAAAGGTTATATTTTTAAAAAGACAAAAATTTAAATATACTGACCAATTGTCTTCCACTTGCTTTGTACTCATTCAGCACTACTTTGAACACTTTTTTCGTATAACTAGGTCGCCGATTTTCAGATGGACTTACCGGGTTAGGATTACCACATGAACGCGAAGGGTTTGTAGCTTCATCTATGGATTTTAGGTTCGATGGGTTAATCCATACAGTAATGTCAAACAACCTCAACCCTACGTACCGAAACATGATGGAATGATCTCCAGTCATCCCATAAAATTTTCGCAAGAAACCCCAACCATCTGTCAGGAGTGGTTCTTCACGGATGACTTCACATTTCAGTTCGTGTTTGTTTTCCTTTTCATCAATTAGTGTCCAGATACCACCCAATTCATCCTTAAAATCGTTCCAGAAGTCTTCCTCTACTTTTCCAAAAGGCTAACGAACAAAACTAAAAATTGTCAACCAAATAACTTTCAAAACGTAAACAAAATCATAAAATTACCTTTCTTTTCCGATGAAACGTCACGAACCACCCTAAAGTCTTCATCTCCTTAATCGATGTTTGTCTTCTTGGGGCCATTGGTCTCCAGCCATAAACAGATATTTCACCTAACCTTGTGTTCGACGGTTTGCCTTTAGGAATTTTGAAACAATCAGACCTTTTAACTTCTAATAACCAAGCCACTAAATAATTCCATTACCAGGTCTTGTAGGCCCATATTACATTTATATTTTTGGGCTTTAGGATTAATAATTGGATCATCATATATATATATATAAACACCACCTAACTAATTTTTGTACTCCAATTCGTTTACTTAAAATTTGGCCCATGTAAAATTAATAAATGGGGTACGTTTACATTGCAATTTCCTTAGATAAAAAAACTTAAATATATTTTTAGTTTTTTTAACATACCTATATTATAAATAATAAATACTAAATTACTTCATGCTACAACTACTTGACTTCGATATAAAAAAAAAATCCTAAACTATATGTACATTAATTATTTTACATTTTACTACTTTCTTAAAATTCCTGAACCTAAGGTAATTACTTTGATCCTACTGTCGTTAATTTCATCACTATAATTGCCTTTCTTAACTGGGCTCTAAACATCCCAGTATTGCATGAAAGTGTTATACTTTATGTGTTCTTTATTTTCTTCTTCCCAACTAACTGAATTCAAATTCGTAAGTTGAAATTCGTAATCGCTTCAAATTTGTAACTTTATGCATTACAAAATCATTAAACTCGGTTGCTGACTTAAGTTCAATAATAGTAATAAAAAATCAAAATAACTACTTCAAATTGACATACACAAAAAAATTTTTACTTTAAAAACAAACTAATCTTAATGTCTAACATTCGCATTGAATAAAATAAAATGATTGAATAAAATAAAATGGCCTACACTAGGGAATAAAACCATAAACCCTCGTCAGAGTCCAGAATGGCAACGAAATGGGGCAAACCTGTAACTAATCAACCTACACAACCAAAAACAAAAATAATCCTAAACTTTTAACTTAACACTTCAAGGACTAATTTGCAATTTCTATAACTTAGCTATTCATTTAACTGACTTCTCACTATATGTATTAGTTAACCATTATATTTATGCCACGTAAGAAAGGTTCCAAAACCCCTCAAAATGTTAAGGTACCGCAGAGTTTCTCAACAAAAAATTCACAAATCAATTTTAACTACTCATTCATGGTTACAAGATGAATTATGGATTATCATCAGCTTCTTCAATTCAAAAATTGCATTCATGTTACATAACTAAATTAAATTAATTCAAATAACCTAATTCACTTTAAAAAAAATGTGAAACTAACAACCAAAAATTAAATATTCCTTATTACATTCTAAATGTCACTATTGCATTATTCGCATTCTCATATGAACCCAATAACTTTTCAACAAACCATCTTTTTTTCCTACGTATTTCTAAACTAATTTTTCATGCACTTCAAATTCAAAATAACATAAAAGTACATTTCATTTAACACTAAATCAAACTTCAAAATAACTTCAAAATTAAACTAATCACAATATTTAACAATTGTTCTTCATATCATTATAATTCCAGCCAAGACAAACACTATGATCCAAACCACAATAAATTTGTTCTTCATTTTAATCTCATTTGTTTTCACCATCTTCAAAACATCCATCACCATTTCTTCCACAACTTCTACCTTCTTATTTGTAACATTTAACTCCTCTCTCAGCTTCTTAATTTTAACCTGTAACTCAGATATATCAGAAATATGCCCAGACACTATTATTTCTAATTCTTCCACAACCAAAAAATTTTCTCCCTGGATTCTTACGAGTTTTTGAGTATTGTATCCTACTTTGAATACCACAATAATATAAAGGCATTTCCCTTGGTAATGTGGATAGCATAGTCCTGCTTGTGTGCGAAGATGCAGAATTCTCCATTTCTGATATCTAACAAATATAAATACCATGGACAAACATTATCATAACCAATAATGTTTACCACAAATATTATTGTCAAACCACATTAATAAAACAACAAAAAATTCACAAATCAATTTTAACTACTCATTCATGGTTACAAGATGAATTATGGATTATCATCAGCTTCTTCAATTCAAAAATTGCATTCATGTTACATAACTAAATTAAATTAATTCAAATAACCTAATTCACTTTAAAAAAAATGTGAAACTAACAACCAAAAATTAAATATTCCTTATTACATTCTAAATGTCACTATTGCATTATTCGCATTCTCATATGAACCCAATAACTTTTCAACAAACCATCTTTTTTTCCTACGTATTTCTAAACTAATTTTTCATGCACTTCAAATTCAAAATAACATAAAAGTACATTTCATTTAACACTAAATCAAACTTCAAAATAACTTCAAAATTAAACTAATCACAATATTTAACAATTGTTCTTCATATCATTATAATTCCAGCCAAGACAAACACTATGATCCAAAGCACAATAAATTTGTTCTTCATTTTAATCTCATTTGTTTTCACCATCTTCAAAACATCCATCACCATTTCTTCCACAACTTCTACCTTCTTATTTGTAACATTTAACTCCTCTCTCAGCTTCTTAATTTTAACCTGTAACTCAGATATATCAGAAATATGCCCAGACACTATTATTTCTAATTCTTCCACAACCAAAAAATTTTCTCCCTGGATTCTTACGAGTTTTTGAGTATTGTATCCTACTTTGAATACCACAATAATATAAAGGCATTTCCCTTGGTAATGTGGATAGCATAGTCCTGCTTGTGTGCGAAGATGCAGAATTCTCCATTTCTGATATCTAACAAATATAAATACCATGGACAAACATTATCATAACCAATAATGTTTACCACAAATATTATTGTCAAACCACATTAATAAAACAATAATTAAAACGACACAATCACAACACTATCAAATTACAATATATTTTTTTTCCACGTCGATCAACAATCCATAATAATGCATTCACAACAAAATACAACAATACCTAAATCACTTATTAATACTTATTAAATCTGGAAAAAAATAAAAACCCTAACAAAATCACATAATAATATGAATCCTAACAACTCACCTAATAAACCAAACAATATTCACGCATACGCTTATTCGTCAAACCAACACTACATCACCAGTCAATTAATGACAATTCGAGCACAACTGAAAAGTTATTACAACTTAATCAAACAAAATTCAACTTACCACTAACTGTTCACTTCACAATCGGGGTGCCTATCCCCCGGACCCACACACAAAACTCGAAAATCAGCTGAGGAGAACAACCTGCAAAGATTTCAAATGCAAAGACAGACGACCTTTATGAGGAGAAGAACCTGGAAGGATTTCAAATGGAAGCAAACTCATGCTAACGAAGACAACATTTGATGAACACAACAACATCCATGGCAACAAAATGGAAACACAGACACAACAAGAAGATGGAAAAGGGAAACCAGACGATTTCGTCGCTTAAGAGAACAACATGGAAACAAAGACAAAGTAACACACACAACATTTCACGAATAGATCAACATCCATGAGGAGAACAACATGGAAACGGAGATACAACACCTGATCTAACCAAACACGACGATGGCAAGGGAAACAACCTTGGCTTAACAAAATGGAGCCAACAAAAGACTGAAGGAAACAGGAACTGGAACTTTCGAATGAGAGAAGTAGATGGAGCCACGTTTGAATGCAAACAAAATGAGGTGGCATGCATTTACAAATTGGACAAAAGAGGGGACCCGGGTTGGTTTGTTGGATCATGGAGCAGGGGCGGATCAATCAAATTACCCACTCTTTGGTCAAACTTTCAACACGGTGAATGACATGGAGTTAAGGAACACGTGACATCACCTCATTCGTTGTCCGTACAAAAGGCACCAAAACCCTCTATTCACAAAGGACACCCAAAGATCGTCCTTAAATTAATAGAATAAATTTTGATAAAAAAAAATAATAAATAATAAAAAAGAAAAAAATATAAAATACTTTTAATCAAAGAAATCACAGTTGAGCCGCAAACTAAAGAACAGAAGAGAATCTCTTCAATCTTTCCCATAAGATCAGGTCTCCAAATATTGCACTAAAGAGTCTGTTGACATGAAGTGTCCACCAGAGATGAAAATCACCTAACCAAAAGAAAGGAAAAAAAAAATCAAATAAAAAAATAAAAGCATATAAGAGATAAAAATAACCTAACCAAGAGAAAAGAAATTAAATAAAAAAAATGAAAGTATATGAGAAATTAAAGTTGAGAGGCAAGAGCAGGAACCACTGCTTGATTGGAAAGACGAAAGGCGGAAAAAAGCTCCTTAACCCACTCACTCTGAAACCCAGAGAAAGAAAATGAGCCAAGCCCGTACGGAATCAAAAAGGCAAGATTGAGAGATAGAAGGCTAGGCTTGTCGTCAAGGGGTTCACTCTAAAAGAGGACATCGACTACACTGAGACCTTCTCCACGCTTTCTATTCCTTCCCGGCGCAAGTTATACAGAAGGGTGGGTTTGGCTTATACCAGCTAACGAAAACTTCCCCGCTAAAGAATTGCATCACACAGGTGAAAGGCGATCCTTTATAGCCTAAGGATATTTTCGATGACTTATAGCATACATGAACGAAAATGAGACGACATTGGTTGAAAGAACGATGATTCATTTTGGTGCTAGGATATATATACAGCAAAAGGGGAAGGTCCAAAATCTATGAAATAACTGTTACATATTTAATTAAATTTAAGAAAAATTTGAATTGTGAATTTCTTGAAAAGGTTCAAAATTAAAATTGAAAAGACAGTTAATTCTTGAGACGCGTGTTGCTGTCTGTGATTAGAAGGCACGCATAGTGTCTCAGTTCTGCTTGCGGTGAAAAATATTATAAACCAATTTTTTAAAATTAAATCCGTTATTCAATTAATTGCAACGCCTAATTTAAATTTTCATAATTTAATATTTTTGAATTGTGATTAATTTGATATTAATAAAAATAATAATAATTAATATCAAATAAATATAATATTTAAATTTTATAATATTAAAAATTAAAATTAAATTTTATTTATAAATTCTTAATATTTAATGTGTATATAAAATTTTAAACTATATATAATATAATATTTAAGTT